CGCAACTAATATTATAAATCATATTGTCTAAAACAGTGGATTGTGCAAGTCTTTAGAAGTTAAATGCTGGATACTCTTTTTGAGTGGATACTGTCATAAGTTTCTTAATTTATGCTTTAGCCAGGAGCTCTCTAAGTTTCCCTTTTTCTTTTTGCGATTAAAATGTTATGTATATTCGAAAAACTTCGTATTCATTTCTATTCGGCGAACGTTACTGATAGGATTTTATTTATCTCAAATAATCTTTGTAAAAAAAGCTTTGAAACACTAATTTTCTCATTTTTAAGTTATTGGATACTTTTAGCATGCTTATTTGGGTAAAAATTATAATGCGATACAGTATTCATATTTTTACTATAGCTCATGACAAATGTTTGATTCTAACAGTATTTTTTCTCTTATAACGTTAGATATAATATTTTACAACTGACTTTGTTAACTAAGTATTTGTTATATAGACTAAGAGTTAAGAGATAACAAACTTGCTTGCCCTCATTTTGCATTTACAATGCACAGTGCAACAAAGAAGTTTTCAAAGGTATGGGTTATCACTTTTGAAGATTTTGTATCGCTCTAATTTGAAAATTGAGTTCCTATAGATATATATATATATATTGAGACTATTTAATCTTAGTGTTTAAAATAGGTGTTTTTGAAAAATTACTAAAATTGACCAGTTAGCATTAAATTTATTTCACCCATCCAGATTTTTTATTTTTTCCTAACATAAAGCCATATTTATCTAAATTGAAAATGGCGGAACACAGGTAAAGACATATTACCCCATATTGTCATAAAATTCTGTGTTATGACTTATTACATTATAATTATCAGAGTTTATACCGTTGATTCAAGGTTTAGTGAAACAAAAACAAGGTATATTTTACATAATTTAATATTACATGAACTAATAAGAACACACACATTGAAAAACGGGCGTTATGAAGCCTGAAAATATTTCATGTGTTAATATTGGTTGAGGTTTAAAAGCATAAAATTCGAATATACCTACACAATTCTTAAATCATAGATTCTTCATTTTGTTTGATTGTTAGTGTAGTTTGTTTGAATGACAAATGACAGGCACGCCTATTGTACAAAATCTAACAAAAATAATTTAGAGTTATATCGGGAATTTCCTAAAAGTGTTAGAAAGGGGCAATTTTGTAAGAATTATAAATACACTGATTTAAATTTGTTTTTGTTTCATTATCAGTAACGTCATTGGGTTATCGAAAACTTGATTGTAATAAAACTACAAAAACAAAAACGAAATAATAATATTTACTTACCTTTATCAAACTAAATAATTACTAGATAACAATTCAAACAGTGTTTAAGGCCCCCTTGTGGCACAGCGGCATGTCTGCGGACTTACAACGTTAGAACGGTTTCGACACCCGTGGTGAGTAGAGCACAGCTTGCCCATTGTGTAGCTTTGTGCATATTACAAACAAACAATCAGTATTTAAGTAAGATATTAAAAAAGAATATTTTCACGATAATAACATTTTTAGACAAATAACCCAAACAATGCAATCATGGTTATCAAAGCTTTTTTACTAAATTCTAAATTATAATAATTCTTTGTATTTTTTTTCCTAAGATAATTTTGATTAGTTCTAAACTTGAAAATGGTCGGGGTACTTGAAAAAAGGACAAAGTAAATAAGGTTCTAGAAAATATATGATAACATGCTTCATCAAAAACCATCATCAGTACATTGGTTCTACTGTATAAGGTATTAGTATGACATTTTTACTTCAACACACAAAGAAAAATTTAATTGAACTACTAAATGTGGATTTATGTGAATATGATGATTTACCTCTTCCCACTGATCGAAAATACAGCCTTTAAGTAACGGTTCTGGAACTTCCCTGTGCCAATTAAAGTCATAGGCTTTGGTCATGGTGTACAAGACTTGTGGTACTAGCCGCACCAAATGATCCAATAGATTAGAAAGCGGAAAGTACCTTAGCAGGTGAACAGTTGCTTGTTGGCATATGCTTATGTCGTTTGAGTCTGTCTTCTTATCTTGTATCAGAGTTAATAAGAGCTTAAGAAGCATCCACACAAGTGGTGAGCTAAAGAGCAAGGGATTACATAGAAACCCTACAACTGGTAATATTCTTTTTTCTTATTGGTCAAACAGACTTGCTGAATATTGATTTCCTCTTTTGGTATTTATAATGATACAGTAAGCTTAATAAGTATTATAAATAACAGTTTGTGTGAACACCATTGCTGGCGAATCGTGACTATAATCAATTATATTTGCATAGGACAATATTATTAGGAAACGATTAGAAACAGTATCATTGTTTTATCACTTGTTACTACATTCATTCTGTAAAATATGAAGATTTACTCTGGACACATGAACAAATAATAATAAACGGTTAGTATGCTAATTTTAATTACTTTTACCATTGTTAAATTTTGGGTGTTACAAGTTGAGTGATAATGCTTAACAAAGCTGTGTTCTCCGTTAGTTTCTACAACTCATCGCATTGTGCCTTTCAACAGCGTTGTATGTCAAAAAAAAAAAAAACGTTAACAGAAAGCTGCCAACATTCATCAGTGGGCTGTTAGGGGCGTATGAATCTTTCTCAGATTTGTTTGTTTTAATTACATAGTCTCTCACTAGGTGTAACACAGCTGCAGGTTATATGATTAACGTAAATACCGTTAGTAACTCTTCAGTACATATACACATTTATATTATTTTAAGTATAAGATTTATCTTTTTTTAAGGTCATGAAAGAATAAAGATATTCAAGGATGCGATATAAAATTAGTTTACACAGAAGAATATATATATCTGAGAGTTATAGTTAATATAGAGATAATTTATTTCACACGTCTGTCATTATGTCAGTATATAAACGTATAATAAAACATTAGATATCGTATTTTGCCCAAACTTCAACTAAAATAAAAATATCTCAAGAAGTGTTATAGTTAAAGTTCTTTGAAATTCGACTACCTTTTTGAATACAACTTTCACCTGACGATGATGGCCCAACACTATGGTACTATGGGTCGATACGTTGTAATCATTAATAAAAGGGAACTTGCCTACCGTGAAAGTTCCTGTTATTGTAATTTTTAAATAATCATTCAGTTCATTTAATTTCTCATTAAACATTAATTATGCAGTTTGTTTTCACAGATTAATATCAATCGATAATTCAATTCTACGGTTATGTCTAACACTACATGTTTGTTGCTGGTGGGCCATGGATCAACATGTTTGTTGCTGGTGGGCCATGGATTAACATGTTGGTTGTCCTGCTGAGTTTAGTTGCTGTTTTGTGAAAACATTTTTTATAGAAGAAGCTTTTGACCACATGTGGAATTAATTGGTAAAGAAATATTAAAAATTACTAGCAATGAATAGCATTGATTAACTTTAGAAACTTTTCAAAAAATAAATTTTAACTCTACGCATTTCCGTTATTATATAGCCCCCCAGTGGCACAGCGGTATGTTTTCGGACATACAACGCTAGAAACCCGGTTTCAATACCCGTAGTGGGCAGAGCACAGATAGTCAACTGTGTAGCTTTGTGCTAAATTATAAACAAACCGATATTGTATCATCTATTGACAAGTTATCCATGTGTGGGCGAGAAATGTATTTGTTTCCACAATCGAGATAGAAATTTCAACGGAAGACTGAAAATCGACAATGAGACTAAAATTTAGATTTTGTAAAAATTATTTCATCTAAAATAAATATTAATGAAATGACATCAAATGAAATTATAAATTCTGAACACTTGAAGTACAGGTTTATTTTAGAGAAAATTTGTGGGGTACAAAACAGATTTTTTTTTCAAAATTGATGTCATGAGTCGCACGATTTTTGTGGGACCTATACATTAAACATTAATTGTCCACGTTTGCTTTATGGACATATTTCTCTGTGTTGGACGCGTGCCCTATGAACATAGTAACTGTCCTTGTGTACATTAAGGACATATTTCTCCGTGTGGGACCCCAATGAAAGAATAGATCATTCCAAGCTTTTACTTGTTGTTAAACAAATGTTTAAACAACTCTATATATTCAATTATGTACAAACTGCCCAGTGCCTGCTAACAATACGAAGAATTAAAGTGTGGCGAAATGCTACAAGTTCTTCTAATACCTAACGAATGATAGGTTTCTTTTTTTGTGAGTGTAAAACACATAAATACACCAGTTCGATTTGGTAATCTGCTTTCTCCACATTCTAACTAGAGGCAAGAAGTTCAGAGTACTTGCACGGAAACTAACGCTTGAGGGCATTGTGTAATATATAACTGAACGAGCATTAAATTTACATTTAATATGGGATAAAAACTGCAGGAGATAAATATAACTATGATTTCCATATTTATCATTAAAAGCCTATTTGCGAGAAAATAATTGATTAATTTTGCTTTGCATGTTTTTCTCAATCAAGAACAAGAATACCATAATACATATTTCCTGAGTATAGATCTATTTTTAGATAGAAGATCAGTTGTCACGGTACTGTTAACATTGCTTGTACAAACAACAACAACAACAAAAATTATCATTGGTCTTATATATACACACATGTAATTTGATCAAATCATGTATTATGGAGACTAAAGAAATGGTTACAAGACATGTAAAAGAAAATATGAGCAATATGGAAACCCAAGGGCCACATATTCACAAAGTGATCAATATAAATAAGAACCGACGATTCATCCACCCAGGAAATTTATTTCTTTATAACGTGAAGTTTAATATTATGTAATTACCAAGGCAAGGTGTAAGGTTAATTTAAACAGTCTATTTTATTGATATATTAGATGCTTCATCAACCCATGAAACTAATAGATAAAACTGTTGCGATTTACCCGTTTAATGCAACTAAATTGATCAGATGGCATCTAGCTTTGTAATTTTTTTTTTGCATGCATTTACTATGTCACCTTTTATTGAGTGTAGTTCAATAGTGTTTCGTGTGTATACTTGTGTATGTAATAAAAACGTTGACCACATTTGAAAGTCCTCAAGCACAACAAGAATCTTATGCACACAACCAGCTTAAATGTTGCATCAAATAAGATTAGTTTAACTGGAATAATTGACAGATGAAGGAGGGTTTGTACTCGGTTGAGCTAGGTGTCCATTGCATAGTGTGAAAATATTGGTTCCTAAAGAGGTCTGTCTGGATTGAACAAAACACGTCCTCAGCATTGGAACTGACAAATATAGTGTGGTTTGAATGCTATTATTATAAAATATTCTAATTTTTTAAAATCTCTAATGGACTAGATTAAAAATTTTGTGTTTAATAATGTAATAAACCTAATATTAATGTCTTATGACAAATGCAATTTAAACTATTTTTCGCCGGCTTGTAAAATGCTTATATGTATATATATTGTTACGACAGCGGAAGTCACACGACACTGGAAGCATGCGCTCTGGAGTTTCTAGAAGGATCATGACTTTTCCTGGCAACTCTAGACTGTTCCAGACGCCCTCTTTTTTAGTATATAAGCCCGGCAAATAAAGCGGAGATATAATTGCAGATAGATAGATATAAATACAGATAATTGAGTCAAGCCAGCGGCAGTGACGGTAATATAAAGTGTGTTTTGCTATCGAGATTGCAAACGTATTGTTACGACAGCAGAAGTCACGTGACCCTAGTAACACGTCATGAACTTCTAGAACGATCACGTCCCTTCCTGAAGTCTCTAGAGGCTACTAGATATGCGGCAGTATTGTATATATAAGTCGCCAAGAATTGACGGCAACAATGTGTAATTGAACTGCGGACAGAGAGAGACGCATTGTTGAGTCGAGCACGTGAGACCTTCGTTGTGAATTATAGCGATTGTTATAGCGCGACTGTGGAAATTAAGTGTATTGCAAAGTTGTATTCAGAGAGAATAAACCAGTTTTATTTAAGAAAGGACTTGTATCGCTAAAGTTTCTTCAGAAAGAATTTTTACGGAAAATTAGCTAACGAACCGACGCGTAATAGTATTGACTGTGGAAATTCTGTGTATTGCAAAGTTGTATCGAGAAAGAATAAACTAGATTTAATTAAGAAAGGACTTGTATCGCAGAAGTGTCTCGGAAAGAATTTCTACGGGAAATTAACAAACAAGCAGATACGCAACAAATTGGTGTCAGAGAGTGGGATGGGAAAGAGGGGGAAAAAAGAAGAAGAAGATGGAAACGAGAGGTGGCAAATCAAACAACAGCTTAACAGATTTGATGGCAGCAATAAAAGAACAGCAAAGAAACAAGAAGAGAGACAACAGCAGTTGCAAGAAAACCTGCAACAGTGGCAGCTCGAACAGCAAAATAAACAAGAAGAGAGATTACAGCAGTTGTTGGAGGAAAAGAAAAAAAAACAAGAAAAACGAGAAAAAGAAACAAGAAGAGAGATTACAGCAGTTGTTGGAGGAAAAAGAAAAGAACAAGAAGAACGAGAAAATAAACAAAAAGAGAAACTACAGCAGTTGCAAGAAAACCTGCAACAGTGGCAGCTCGAACAGCAAAATAAACAATAAGAGAGATTACAGCAGTTGTTGGAGGAAAAAGAAAAGTAACAAGAAGAACGAGAAAAGAAACAAGAAGAGAAATAACAGCGGTGGTTGGAGGAAAACAAAAGAAAAAAGAAGAACGAGAAAAGAAACAAAAAAAGAGACTACAGCAGTTGCAAGAAAACATGCAAAGTAGCCATTGACATTGCTGGTCCTTTGCCTCAAACTCGTGCTGGAAACAGGTACATTTGTGTGGTGATGGATTATTTCACCAAGTGGCCTGAGGCATATGCAATACCAAATCAGGAAGCTACAACAGTAGCTTTTGGCTATTAATGATTTCTTCTTCAGATTCGGTATGCCAAAGGAACTGCATTCAGATCAAGGCCGTAACTTCGAATCAGCTGTGTTCCAAGAATGCTGCAAGTTGTCTGGCATCCGAAAGACCAGGATAACGCCACTTCACCCACAGTCCGATGGGATGGTAGAAAAGTACAATGGGACAGGAATTGGCAAAGTTTTGTAATAGCCGCCAAGATGACTGGGATGTCTTACTCCCTCCACTGTTGATGGCCTATAGGACAACAGAGCATGAAGCCACTGGATACACTCCAGCAAA